TGAGGGCAGGGGCAGGCCTGAACCGGGAAGGCGGGCTTGGTGGGGACTCTTCCAGGGCAACCAGGAAAGGGCGGAGGAGAGTAGCCTCCGTGGGCTGCAGGGCGTAGGGCGAGGACAGAGAACAGGACTGATTAGGGGCCTTTGTCACCCACTCTGATAGCCACCTGATAAAGCAACCTTGCTCGGTCCCAGTTTCCACAGCCACCATGCAATTTACTGTCCAAACCTGGATGCTTTTGAGAATGAAAGTAATAATTACTCAAGGACAACAGGCATGTCCTGGGCACACTGCGATGTGTGGTCCCCCAGCCCTGGGTGGGAGGCTGGCCCTTGTGCTCTGCTCAGGTACACTCCCTGTGACCACTGCCTCCCCTAACCTGTCCTTGGGCACTGAAGTGGGACTCACAGCCTGGAGCACCCAACCCTCCTCAGAGCCAGGCCTGGGGGAAGGGAGGCCTCCTTCATTGGAGTCCATCTCCCCACATCCTCTGCTCCTCTGATGACTGACATGGCTGCCACCACTGTCTTCAGGGCAACAACAATCCCCAGAGGTATGTGGTCCTTCCTGGGGACTGTGGGGGTAACCTGGAGAACCCTTAGGGGCCTGTCTGCACTACAGGGTGCATGGAGGCCAGACTGTTCACCCATGTCCCCCAGCATTGTCCATGCCCCTCTCAGCAAAACCCTGCGATCCCCAGTCTTCTCCCTCTTGCTTGTCCCCATTTGCCGCAGACTGCCAGATGTCCCCACATTCCGGGGTTCTGCCTTGGTTCAGCCCTCCCAGCACCTGCCTGGAATGTTACAGCAGACTCTCCCCAAGCTCACAGCGTCAGCCACCTTTCCCGGGCCACAAGCACAGCCTCCTTAAGCTCAGGCCTAAACGCAAGGTCTGCTCAACCAGCAGACAAAACAAATAGAACAAAAACAAAGACCCTTCCTTGGAGGAAAAACACATGAAGAAACAAAAACATCACCACAGAGCTCAACTTCCCTACAAGGTAAAGTCTACAACTTCCTCTGAGAACTGACTCTGGAGTAGATTTCAGCCTGGTCCCCAATGTTCCCTTTGCATAGCTAATTCCCAAACTCTGTGCTGCTCCCTCCTTTGCTGGAGACAGCCCCGCAAACTTGGAAAGCCCCCTCTACATGGATTCCTGAGGCTTCTTTAAGGCCCTACCACACCTGACCACCTCTGCCCCATCCCGAGCTGCTGGAGTTGCCCTTATCCCAGATCAGCTGTGAGGGTGATTCTGTGGTTGGCTGTCTCCTGCAGCTGAAGGTCCAGGGCCCTGTGGCGTTTGTAGACTCAATAAACAGGGATTGAACTGGCTGGTTTTTCCTACTTGCTTCTGTTTCTCCAGAAGGATGACCTCAAGGGATGGGCAGGATGATTTCTGAGATCTTTGCTGACTCTGAAACTCCTTAATGCTGCAGCCTGAGGTCTGATACCACCCATCATCCTGCTTGAATTCCTCCAACTTGAAAAGAAACCCCCCCAAAATTTATTTTTTTAATTCTCACCTGAGGATATTTTTTCCATTGCTTCTCAGAGTGGGAGGGAGAGAGGGAGAAGAAGAGAGAAAAACATCCATGTGATAGACACTTCGATTGGCTGCCTCCCGCATGAACCCCAACCAGGGCCAGGGATAGAGCCTGCAAATGAGGTAATCAAACCCTGGACCCTTCAGTCTGTGGGCAGACACTCTAACCACTGAGCCAAATTGGCTAGGATCAAAAATATTTTAATGATCCTATACCAGAAGTCCTCAAAAATGGCCCAGGAACCCTTGAGGATCCCCAAAGCCCTCTCCGGGAGGTCTGTGAGGTCAAAACTAGTTTCATAATAATAGTAAAAGGTCACTTGCCTTTTTACTGTCATTTCCTCACAAGTGTGCAGTGGAGTTTTCCAGAGCTATTTATGTGGATTTGCAAAAGATGGAATACAGAAGAGATGAGAATCCAGCTGCTTCCATTGTCAGACATTAAAAATATAAAACAATGCAACTCATCAATGAAACATCAATGATGAGAGTCATTGATCTGCTGCCTCCTGCACGATCGAGCCCGAAACCCCAGGCATGTGCGCTGACTGGGAATGGAACCATGACCTTCCAGTTCATAGACTGGTGCTCAACCACTAAGCCATGCCAGCTGGGAGCTGCAGCCACATTTCTTGAGAGCTGTCACCTCCCCTCTCACTGGCTCCTCAGCCCTGTTTTGGCTTCTCATCACTGTTTCTGAAATTGCTCTCACGGAGGCTACTGAGGACCTCCAGCATTTTATCCAATGGACACTCCTGTCCTCATTGTCCCTGTCATCTCAGCACCTGTAGCTGGCCCCCTGGTTCTCCTCCAGGTCTCCATCTGCCTGTTCCTGCTTCATTTCAGGTCACCAGGGCTGTGGGCCTCAGGGCTGGGCCAGGCCCTGGTCTCTTTCTTCTCTACTCCCAGGGCTTCAAGCACCATCTAAATGTGTATGGCTCCAAATCTCTAACTCCAGCCCAGATTTCTCTCCTGAGTCTTAGATACACATAGTCAGCTGCCTCCTAAACATCCATGTGGGTGACGCTGCTGCACATCAGCACCCTCAACTCAACCACTCTAGCACCAGGCAGATCTCCACCCTGCCCTTCCCAACTCTGAACCCCGGCCCTCTCTTCTCTACCTCACTCTCCTCATCACCAGTCACACCCGAATCCTGCCAACCTCACCCCTTAAGCTGCTCTCAAATCCACCCTCCTGTTCATGTCACACCTCAGCACAGGCCAAGTGCATCTCTCCCTGGCCTCCCTTTGGCCTTCCTCCTCCAATCTGGCATAGCAGCCAGCGTTCCTTCTTTAAAAATATATATATATAAATATATATATGTATATATATATATTTATATGTAAATATATATATGTATACATATATATTTATATATATATATATATAAAAACTCAAGGCCAGGTCACCAGGCTGGCTAGCAGGATGCGGGATGCAGTCCTGCCACCTGTCCAGCCCCGTGTCCCCTTTGCCATGCCACTCTGTCCCAGTTGGTCTGACCTTGCTTCCCTCTCTAGCACAAGCTATATTCCCTGTCTCTGTTCACTGAAGAGCTCTTCTCAGGCTCAGGGTTTGGATCTATCATTCCCTCCCCCAGAAAGCCTTCCCTGAGCAGCCCTTCCGGGCCAGGAGCCCTTTCTAAGCTGAACACCCTATTTTCCTCCCATCATAGCACATTTCATGCTGAATAGTCACCATTCAGAGTTTCCAGGCTCTGAGTTCCTCGAGGAGAAGGATTTCTTCACTGCTGTATCCATCATGCCTAGATCAGTGCCTGGCCTATAGAAGCTTAGTAAATACTTGCTAAATAAATGGGTTGCCCTCCCCACCCCACTTCATATAGAGCAGGGCTCTGCTCTGAGCACCCAGACTGGCCGCCTGGCCCTCCTCAGGCATAGGGGTCCAAGAGGCAGCCACCCAGGGCTCCCTGCCACCCCCTGCCTCTTCCTATTGTGCTGCCCTGACTGAGCTCCCAGAAGAGCCTGACTAGACTCCACACTTTTCCCATCGATGGCCAAGACATGAGGCTGCCAACACATGGGCACACTCCCCAGGCACAACACTGCTCAACGTGGTTGGAGCTGACCCTTCTGGGGACGCCGAGACCAGTTCAGGAGACCAGCAACAAGAGCAACAGTAACACATACCACTCAGCATCCCAGCGTAAACTAATGCTCAGGAAGCTGAATACTTTCCTGGAGGTCACTGGGCCAGTGAAGAAAGGGGCTGGGTTGGAGTCAGGCTCTTCTGATGTTAAAGTCTCTCATCTGGGCCTCACCCATTCTGCAGGTCCAGGATCAGAGGCTGAGCCCACTGAGGGGCCGTTCCCAGTTGAGGAACCCAGGGTCAGGCTGAGATCTTGGAATCAAAGATTTGTGCCTGGGGTTTGTGCCTGATTACAGGTAAGGGTGGGGAGGGGTAGCCAGGGACAGGCATGGATGAACAAGCAGTAGACCAGAGGGCACCCCAGCAATTCATTCCATTGGGGGCCCTTGGCAGGTCAGGGTAAGAGAGAAGGTACAGCCCATACCCCAGAGGAAGCAACAGTGAGTACCTGGACCTCAGAAGTCAAAGGGCCACCAGTTCCTCCAGGCCACAGGTCTTCGCTGTCAGCAGTGCCCCGGAAGTTGTCATGCCCCTACCCCAACCCACATGCTCCTCTAACAGGAAGCCAGAGGTCAAGCCTCACTATCAGGAAGAGGCAGCCGCTAGCCCAGGAGAAAGACCTGGTCTGAGCTCCAAGTCTGCCAGCCTCCTTGGGGCAGGAGACACAGGATACCAGGTCAGTGGCAACAACAATGCTCACAAAGCTGCCAAATACAGCCGCACAGGCTGAGTTCTACAAGACTCAGTGGTGTTCTTTGTGTGCACTAAGGCATGAACAGTGCCCATGGGAGTCATGTAACTTGGCAGTCCTGCCTGCTGAGCTTCCTGCTCCCTGGGAGAAAGAGATGGAGACAAAGAGGGAGCCCTTTCCCCTCTCATGCGGCTTCCAGGGCTTCACCACCTCACTCCCCCCAACCCCCCACCTAAAGAAAGAACCATATTCCAGCACAGCACAGATAATAAGAGATCAGTTTATGGGTAACAGTATAGGACAGACTGGGATGGCACCAGGGCCTATAGTGACGGATTTCCCAGGAATGAACAGACAGACAGATAGGATTAGCACAGACAGACATACAGGACAGGAAAACAAAGCCAAGTGGGTCAGAGGTACAGGCTCAGCCTCAGCAGCTATGTCAGGGCTCCAGATCCAGCTTTGCCCTGGGGACCTGGGGGATGAACAGGGCTGAAAGGGGCCTCAATTCCTTTAGGGCCTCCTCTCCTCACTCCCTCCTGTCTCTCACCAGCAGGCTGAAACCTTTCAAAGGTGGTATTTCTAGGGCTAGGGAATGGTTAGTTTGGGGATTAGGGGTTTAGATGGTCAAGGCTCTTGGAGGCTCCCTGGGGAGGTGGAGGCCTGGGTGGTGTGGGGTTAGCAGCAACACTGAGGGGAATCTGGTCAGGCACCTGTGGTAGGGCACCGCTCAGCAGGGCCCATATGTCCAGGGCAGGCCCCCCACCCTGCCCACCACACCAACATGGTGCAATAAATAGTTTCAAGTAGTAAGTCAGTGTCAGGCAGGAGAGCTGGAGACTGATGGACAAGCAGGGGCTTAGGGAGAGGAGCCCCCACTGCCCACTGAGTCCTCTTAGTGGACTCCAGCTGTACCAAGTCTGTCTGTGTGCACAGGAGTGGGGATCTGGCCCCCACGTCCACGTGGGCACTCCCTGCAGGGGCACAGCCCCTCAGACCAGTGCCAAAGCCTGCTCAGTGGGGCAGAAGCAGGGCAGCATGGTGCCCACAGCGTCCACGATGGCTGCCAGGTGCTCGTCCTGTGCCTGGGGCCCACAGAGCTGCATGAAGTCCGCCAGGCGCAGCAAGTACTCAAGGTTGTGGCCAGAGAAGCCACGGCAGGCCAGGATCTGCGTAGCGATGGCCTCCTCAGGCGCAGGGCCCAAATAACCAGGGTTCTGTGGGGTGGCCACGTAGGCCAATGCTTTGAGTGGTTGGTCAGGGGTATCTTGCGGGTAGAAGGTGACCTCCTTGGTATCATAGCCACCGAGTACTGCTTCCCGCACATTCAGGTACTTCAGAGCCTCGCTCACTTGTTCATCTCGCACCTGGTATGCCACGCCCCAAGTGCAGCCCTAGGAGGAAACATGAGCACAGGGGTCAGTCACAACAGCTCCTTGCTGGTTCCACCCCAGGACTCTGCTCTATAAGGGAGGTGGGAGGAGGGCTGATGAGCCATCTAATAGCAAAAGATCAAGCCCACCTTCTCCCTTTCATAACAAGGTGGTCTAGCTGCAGGGTGGTCAGGATTACCACTCAGATTGTGGTCTAAGAACCAGTAGCATCACCTGTAAACTTGTCAGGAATGTGAGGATTTAACAAGATCCTCAGGAAATTCTTGTAAGAAGCACTGAGCTACACCACCCTTTCCTTCTGCCAGAGGAACATCTAATCTTATCCATCTTGTCGCTGCCCCGAAGGAAGGTGCCTCCTGTGCCTCCTTGCCAGAACCCCACGAACTGTCTGTTGGCACCCCTCAAGGCTTGGCCCCAGAGTCCCCCTCTTCTCTCAGGCACTTACCTCATGATCTTCAAGAAGGGTCACCACACGGCCAGGCTAGGAAGGAAGGAAAGATTTTGAAAAAGACAAAGTTAGGAATCAGCTCTGCCATCAGTGCCAGAGGACTTACCAACCCTGCCAGCACAGGCCTCAGAGAGCCCCACTCATCCAGGGGAGTGTGGAGGGAGGGATGCACCAATGCAGGAGAAATAGACACAGGGCAATGTCCGGGACAGATAATCAGAAATATCCATCAACACAGGATCACACACTCCAGCCATCACACAAAGATCCACTGGGCACAAAAATTTAAGCCACAATCCCGGGCACTGGTTTACCTATTTACCCCATCAGCAAGGAGTCACAGTCTGCCCAGACAGTCCTGGACAGTCCAGCGCCCCCTGTCCTGTCCCCAACCCCACCCCTATCCACACGGATAGGGTCTAATGCTCACCATCTTGTCGCTGCCCCGATGGAAGGTGTCTCCTTGCCAAAACCGGCGGCTGTAGCCGCGCACGAAGCCCACGCGGCTGTCGCTATAGGCGAAGTCGGGCCTCCACACCAGGGAGCCATACCCGAAAATCCACAGCGCTTGGGGGTCGCCGTTGTCCCGGGGGGGCGGCGAGGCGGGCGGCGAGGCAGACGAGGCGTTCTGGGCTGCGGACTCCTGCTTCATGGTGCCGGGCACAGGGACGGGCCCCGGCGGCCTCCCGGGCAGGTCTCCGGCGCGCGCACGGAAGGACCGACGGACGCGCACACCTGGCCTGGCACCGCTCAGTCGCTCCAGCTGCGCGAACCCTGCCGAGGCCCTTTTTAAACCCTCCGGTCGGCAGGCACCGCCCCCCGCGGCCAGCTGCCGCGGTGATTGGGGCGGGGCAAATCCCCTTTTGGCCAATCCCCTTTGGATTTTGCTTCCCGGTTAACCGCTTGGCCCTGTGAGTGGGTAACTGAGCGGCCTGCCCCCTGCCCATCGCGCCCGCTGATTGGTTCGGCTCCACCTCTGCCGCAAACCGGTCACCAGTGATGCAACAGCGAGGGAGGTTTCCCCAGCTCTGGCATGCAGCAAGGACGCCTCGGATTGCGTCAGGCGGCAGGCAGTGGGCACGGATGTGGACACACGTCGTCTCCCCGGCAACCTCTCCAAGGTCTGGGACCTTCAAGAACCACGGCGGGTGGGTCCCGGGCGGGTACCTCCTCAGCGTTGCTGCCGGCGCACGTGGCCGAGCACTGCTACCCCGGGCAGCGAGGACTCACCGCGGCCGGGGCAGGGCGGGACCCGAAGGAGCTCCCGGGGCGGCGTCAGTGCCTGTCTCTGGGGCTCCGCCTGGGAGCTCGCACTCTGGAGAAGCCGTCGGAGGCACCCTCCGCATTCCGCACAGATGTTTCACGCTGTAGGCCCTCGTGAGTAAATGGAGAAACTGAGTCACGGGGCTGACTAGGGGCTCTGCAGAGGCGGAGTCAGGCCAGGCGCCCGAAGCTTGCAGGCCTCACGTGAGGGCTACGCGCCTCGAGGCAGGAGTGGGACAACCCCCCCACCCCCCACCCCCCAGCCCAGACAGGCTGGGGAAGAGCCAGCCTGTGTTCTTGGAACTGCCGAGGTCCCTTTGGCTTTGTTGGCCCGACCTGCAGAGAGAGAGGCCAAAAAGACAGAAAAGCCAGGCCAGTCCTGCCCTGAGGCAGTAGGTTTGGTTCTGCCTGTGCGTGAGACTTTTGCAACGATGGTTGGATTGATCGTTAGGCAAGGAGATTCCTGGAGCCACCGACAAGGAAGGACGAACTGAGGCCCCCAGAGGGCTGTGAGCAGCTACTGGCTGACAGAGAGGGTCCTCGGGCCGCTTGGGATTGACCCTTTAAGCACTGGCCAGAGGCTGTCCCCTGGGGTACCTCTGGCTGGAAAAGGGAAAAAGAGACAGCAGAAGGCCTGTCCCTCTCAGGAGAGTGCTGAGGAGGACTGGGTGAACCCTCTGGCAGGGGAAATGGACACTATTGCATCTCATTCTGTTCTACTTAGTTATTTAAACTAAAAATGATGTGCACACTTAAAGCAGTCATTCCAAAGGTGCCTAAGATCTATTCTCCAGTAGGAATGTTGCACTATGGTGTGTATAGTATGAAGCCGGTTCTTTTAAAACAAAACAAGTTATACATTAATGTTTGTAAAGAGAAGTAATAATCTGCAAGAATATACCCAAACTGTTAGCAGAGCTTGTCATCCGAGGAGGACTTTCAATATTAAATGTAAACACTTATGGAGAAGTTTGGGGTTTTTTACAAGGAGCATGAATTACTTTTCCAATTGGAAAGAATTACAGGTAAAATGTTTTGTTCTGATCATTCCTTCCTCTTTCCTTCCATTGCCCGTGCTCACTCTCTCCTCTTCTCCCATGCGCTTGTCCTGTCCCCTTGAGTCCATATGACACCTCCTTTGCTGCTAGCTTCTTAGGGATGATCTCCCCCGTCCATCTACCACCTTTGGGTAGTGGGGTGGGAGGTGGAAACTAGTACCAGCACATTACTGGAAGTATCTGAATTGAAACAAACAACCCTTTGAAAAAGCAGTTTGGTGATACAAACCAAGAATCATAAAATGTCCCTGCCCTTTGACCCAATACATCCACTCCAGGAAATTATTCAAAATATAGGGAAAGCCATATGCCTGAATATTTTTCAAAGCATTGTTAATTACAGCAACAAAAAGAAAAAGAAGAAAAATTACTTATATATCCAAAAATAGCTAAATGTTTAAGTAAATTATGGTTAATTCACATGAGAGAGAAATATATAAGCACATATAAACACACACAAAACCAATATCCAGCAATAGATGATTAGTTAATGGATTTGATATAAACATAAAAATAAATCTGTGCAGTCATTAGAAACAATTATCTATGATGTATAATTAAGTGAAAAAGCAGGTTATAAAATAACCTAATACAACTCTTTAAATGTATCTTTGCTTAGAAAAAAATCTGGAGGGACACATAAACATGGTCAGTGGTTGCATCTAAGCAGGACTTTTTGAGATTTGTACTTTTTAAAAAATATATATTTTTATTGATTTCAGAGAGAGAGGAAGGGAGAGGTAGAGAGAGGTAGAAACATCAGTGATGAGAGTCATTGATTGGTTGCCTCCTGCATGCCCCCTCCTGTGGATGGAGCCTGCAACCCCAGCACATGCCTTGCCCTGGAACCGAACCTCAGTCTACTGGATCATAGGTCGATGCTCAACCGCAGAGCCACACCGGCCAGGCTGTACTTTATTTTTATACCAGTTCAGATTGTCTGGCTTTTTTTTTAAGAGAACAAAAACACAGAGGAAAAAAAAGTTAAAAATCCATTATGAAAACAACATACTAATAATGCCTATGATTGCATAGTAAGGCAAAAATGCAAAATATGATTATCACATGCACTATAATTAAAACTATTAAAACAAAAACAAGATGCATGAGGGAAAATGGAGGTACCATAATGATGAATGTATTGTGGTATTGGGATTATGGGTGACTCTTCTCTATTTTCCAAGGCTTATGAAATGTACTTTTTAATAATGAAAAGTTCCTTTTAAAGAAGCATAAATGGTTTTCTGGTAGCTAAGGGGCAGATAGCATAGCAGAATCACCTGGGGAACATATTCAAGATGCCCATCCTAAGAACTCTTCCCACCAGGACCAAGGCCCCAGGTTTTAATAACTCCTTTGGTGAACTCCTACTCCACGCAGTTAGACATTCCCTCCTCTGTGTTTCCATAGTCCCTTACCTCACTTCTGTTTATATTTTTGTCCCCTCTACCTCATGCTTCTAACAGAAACAATCATTTATCTCAAGTTTACCATGAGCTAGGCAGTGTGCTAAATGCTTTTACATCTATTTCAAACGTCACTACTTTGTGAGATAAATATAATTTCACAGATGGGCAAACTGGAGCATAGAAGTTAGGTAATCTGCTCATGGTGACACAGCAAGTGGTAGAGCCTGGAACTGAAGACAGGTAGTCCAACCTCAGAGCCTCCTTGCTGATAAGCATTTGACATTCTGCCTCCCATGAACCTGAGAGCTCCCTTACAACAGACTTCACCTTTGAAGGCCCAGGGGAATCAACACAGTGCTGGCTCATGAAGGTTTCCCACAAAAGTAGGTAGAAGTGAAGTTCTTACTTGGAAAAGACCAAGGCACGCTGGGGTTTAGAAGAGGAGGAATCCTGCAAGACACAGATTCAACCTTGACACCCTCAAAACAGGAATCCCCACAAAAGTTGGCCTGGGGCCTAGGCCACCTTCCCAGAAACATGTCTTTTTTTAAAATCCTCACCTGAGGATATTTTTTCCATTGCTTTTTCAGAGAAAGTGAAAGGGAGAGCAGGAGAGAAACATCAATGTAAGAGAGACACATCAATTGGTTGCCTCCTGCATGCACCCTGACCTGGGCCAGGAATCGAACCTGAAACTGAGGTACATGCCCTTGGCCAGAATCAAACCCAGGACCCTTCAGTCTGCAGGCCGACGCTCTAACTGAGCCAAGCTGGCTAGGGCTCCCAGGAACATGTCTTGTTCTCATTCCTTGCTTATCCTTACCAACATCTGTCTCTTTCTCTCCCAGTGGGACACTCCCTGGCAGTAAATGATGCACTCAGCGGGTTCCTCTTTAACATCTGCAGCAACCATTCCATCTTTTCTCCCAAAATCCCCTCAGGAAGGGACTGCAGATGTCATGCCTACAGAGGTACCAGCTCATGAAAGGTGATGAGAGAGCATTACCTCCACATTGAAGAGTCGCACATGATTTGCACATGATGTGCATGTGGTGGCTTCCTGCTTTGGACCTTTCCCAAATTAATCTTTCCTTATTGTTACTCTTCAGGCAGTCATTTCTCATTTCCTTATGATCTGTTCCTTCTCACTTCTCATTCCAGTCACTGCAATCAACTCCTGGTGTTATCTGAAACAAAGGAAGGGCGTGTTTTAGGAGCTAAGGGATCATGCTAATTTATGCTAAGTGATGAAGTTGCTTTATAAACTTGCTGATTCCAGAGGGGTGAAAAACCTTCTCAGACGTGGGCTCTATGCCCAGCTTGCCCACATTTGAGGCTTACTCCACCCTTTACCATCTGGACAACCGCAGGCACATTGTCCCTGGTCCTCTGTTTTCTCAACCTAGGTTCTGATGAGCTTTGAAAAAAATAACACCTTAACCAGCACCTGCTATGTGGGAGAGCAATTAACACATGTTGGCTCATTATTTTTACTTTAGGCTTTTCACTTTCTATTTTATTTAGGGTAAAGTCATAGTCTATCATAATATTGTGATTTATAATAAGAAATATATATTTGGCCATGGCTGGTGTGGCTCAGTTGGTTGGGCAACCTCCGGAGCACTGAAAGGTTACCAGTTCTGTTCCCAATCAGGGCACATGCTAGGTTTTGGTTTCGATTTCCAAGTTTGTGCATGTAGAAGGCAACTGATAGATGTTTCAATCAGGTGAGGATTAAAAAAAAAAAAGCCTCTAGCAACCACGCCTTAGTTTATCGAAATGAGGGAACTTGTGGGAAGTCCCTAAGGATTGGAGATGGTTGCCAGGGGAACCAACTACGTTGTTAGAGGATTAGAACTTTTTGTCCCACCTCCAGGCCTCCAGCCTCCTGGGAGGAGACAAGGGCTGAAGACTGAGTTCAGTCACCAATGGCCAAT